CTCCTCTGGAATTCTGTCAGTCGCTGGCACAACAGGAAGCGTGAAACCAACTAAAGTGAGCTTGCGCCGGAGATTCGCGTCCATACCAGCAGTTGGACCCTCGCACAAGATGTCCACAAATTGTTGCGGTATGCTCTGCGGGTCTGAAAAAGCTCCGTTGACACGAATGGCGCGAACAGTCTGAAGCTTCCCCATCAAGCTGTCATCTGGGGTTTCTGTCCAATTGTCTGTGTCCCATGCCTGACTGACTTCGCCTTGTGCGCGAGTCAAATCCCAGCGAGTGCTGTCCCCGCTTTGCTTCTGCTGCACCCATTCCATGCTTCTTATGAATAGACTTCTGTGTCCAGCACAAAAGTCCATGAAGAAAGCAACCGCATCCTGGGACAAATAGACATCAGCCTCAGCAAGTTGATCAACAAGTTCATTGGCATGTGGGATTGGGGGAGTCCACATGTACTTTGCAGGAACTGCCGCTGGTGTTAAGTAGGTCCGTCCTTGCTGATCTGTTCCTTCAGACGCTGCAGATAAGAGCAGAACCATTGGACGCCTTTTCAGATACGAGGGCTTTTTCAGGAACTGCTCGTGGAACTCGGGGCAAGCAAAGAGCAAGTGGCATTCATCGAAAACCAGGACTTGGTCATTGTCATAGATCAATCTTATCATATCTTGCAAGTCTTTGTCTTTCACATTCGAGTTTTGTCCCCAAACAGCTGCCCTCATCTTTCTCTCCCACATCTCAAAAATGGTTGCATCCTTTGCAAGTGGGGCATGGACTCCAAAATACTTGGACGGCTGTGTGGTACACAAATGCTGCGCCAATGTAGACTTGCCGCTTGCCACACCAGCACGTAGAAAGACCACCCTCTCATCTTGCAACAAAACATCCAGCTTGCGAATGGTTTCATCCAAGGGGATGAACACGTCGGTGGTGAAGACGGCGGGATCCTCTGCTTTGGGAATTCTGCGCTTCACTGGCATCTCTTCTGGATATATCTTCTGCGCTTTTCCTGAGCTCAACACTTTCGCCGCTCTTGCAACCCCGACCAACGTGCTGCTCCAGCGGCGCAAAACGGCTTTGGTCTCTTTCACCGTGCCGTTGTCCTCCAGCACCCTGTCGGCTTCTGCGACCACCTGAGCGAGGCCAAGCTGGGACGTCGCTTTCTCTGAAGGTCCGCCGCCTCCTCGAGATCGCGCCGGTCCTGACAACCAACACGCCCAGCGTTCAAGCCTGATGCACGTGTCCCCGGCCTCCGCACCACTGTCCTGGCACGATTGCAACCGGCCAAATTTACAACTGCTGATTGGAGCGTCCTGCTGCGGGCTGGCGCGCGAAGCAACTCCGCCACGCCCAGGGTGCCAGCTTGTCACCTCAAGAGGAGCTAAGAATCCAGGCAAAGACAATTACAGTGACACCGAGATCTGGACCTGCGCCCTGCGAGAATCCTGGCGCACCAATTGCAACACACAACACAGGAGCCCTGACTCACAGCCCCAGCAGTGCGCACGAACGGACGTCCTCTTTCAAGCCCTTCAGGGTTGCTTTGGCCTGCGTCGCACGAAAACCGCTTGTGAATCTCAGACAAAGCACGCAGTCCTGCCTCTTCCACGAACTCGCGCAGTTTTTGCTTCAACTCGTCTTTCTTCCCTGAAAGCGTCCACTTCCCTGGGTTTATCTTCTGCGCTTTTCCTGAGCTCAAACCCTTCACCGCTCTTGAAAACCCCGACCCATGTGCTGCTCCAGCGGCGCAAGACAGCTTTTATCTTTTCCACCGTGTCGTTGTCCTGCAGCACCCGTTCGGCTTCTGCAATCGCCTGAGCGAGGCCAAGCTGGGACCTGTCCTTTCTCTGAAGGCCTGCCGCCTCCTCGAGATGGAGCCGGTCCTGGCAGCCAAGAAGCCCAGCGTTCTGATGCACATGTCCCCCAGGCCTCGGCATTGTTGTCCTGGCAACTGCAATCGTCCAAACTTGCAAGCTTTGGGTCCGAAGGTCCTCTCGTGCAGCCCTGGCACGCAAGGCGACTCCAGCATACAACCAGCGCTGGCTCGATGCCTCACTAAGCTCGCAGGATGCGAAAAGGGTCAATCTGCTTGCGTTAGTGGACAAGTCTGAAGATTGGGCCGGTGCGCCGTTGCGGTCCTCGCATCACAGCACAAGCAGGAACATTCGCAAAGAGGGACTTCACGGTCCTTCCGACCGGGAACTCCTCGCGAAAACTCGTGGGCGGCGGACAGGGACTCCTGAAGCCCGAACGAGTCAGCTGCCAACCCCTCAACGTTCCCAAGACCCAGGCCGTGCTCGGCCACTGCAATGAGCAACGCCAGCGCATTCCCAGGCTGAGGCACGCACCTTGCAAAACCACACAACAAACAGCGCAGCATATCAGCTTGCGGGCCTTGGCTTTTTATCCTGGCCCTCATCACAGCCATGGCCATTCCTGAACTTCACGGGCCTGCAAGGCCAATCCTACCGCTGGATACGTCGGCAATGTTTGCCCAGTGCCTTCAAGCATTTGATGAGCACTCTTGGGCGGCGGACGACTTCTTGCGTGCCAACATGTCCTTGCTGCTTCGTGTTATGTTGGTCCGCGTGTTCACGACCCTACGCGGCTTGTGTACTAGCACTCTGGTTGCCGCTGGCGCTGCTGGAGCCGTCAAAGACGCCACCTTGCCGATGCCCTTGCACTGGACTGACACTCAAAGCTCCTTTCGCTCCCCGAATGCCCCAAATTGCCTGTACAGTCACAAAGAACAACTATGCTATCTCGCCGCCGGGGGTCAAAAGGTAAGAGTCTGCCAATACACTTCAAGAGCATTGCGAACTTCGCATGGAGGCGGACACTGCTGATTTTTACATGGCTGGCATCCTTCATGGAAGAAGAGGGTGTCCCCGGCCTCGGCACTGTTGTCCTGGCGGCAACCGGCAAAAGATGCGAACAGGCTTCGGGTCGGAGGAGTCCTCTTGCGCAGCCCCGGCGCGCCGAGCGACTCCGGCATGCAACGGGTGCCGTTTTGCCTGAAAGAGCCAAAGTGCAATCTGCTTGCGCCCGCGGGCAACTCTGAGAACTGGGCCAACATGCTGTCCTGGCACTCAGCACGAAACAAGAACATCCAAAGGAGGGACTTCATGCTCCTTGAGCCCAGGAACTCCTCGAGCAAAGTCCTGGGCGGCGGCGACAAGGGACTCCTGAAACCCGAAAACCTTCGAAAAAAATGTGTCCCAAGACCCAGGCCGTGCTCGGCTGCACGAGCAGCGCCAATGCAATCCCGAGAAGGCAGAGGCACATACCTGGCCGCTGCCTACTGCGGGCACGGAAGCGTCACAAGCTTGCCAGCCTCGGCTTTTGGTCCTGGTCCGCATCATCGCCATGGCTATTCGAAAAGCGCTTGAGCGGCCTGCGATTCCTCAAGCACTGGCACTAGACCCATCGGGCAACCATTGCGAGCTGTTGTTGTGTCAGTGTTGATGAGTATCCTCGAGCCAAGTTTCCAGAGCAAACACAAGATTGACTGGCTTCTTTGGCAACACCAACGCACGGGTTTGGATGCTCCTCCTCCTTTTCACTCGCGGCCTGAAGGTCGGTCGGGCCAAGCCTTGCAAGGCTTCGCAGCGTCCATCCGTCAGACTAGATGACCCACATCCTGCCGCTGCATCAAAGTCCAAGCGAGATACCAAACTGGCCTGCCTGCAAAACAAGCAGCCGAAATCGGCACCGGGCCGCCAGGGCCTGAAGGGCGGGGGTTTGGCGTCCCTGGTCCCTGGGATCACTGCGGCCTCTGGGGTCCCTGGGTCCCTAGGGTCCCTACATTCCCTAGGGTCCCTCCTAAGGTTTCTAGGGTCCTAGAGTCCCTGAATCTGCACACGTGTGCATCAGACGTCTCGCCAAGGCCCCAGAGTGCGCTCGTCCCTGTCAACGCACGGCAGGTTCAGGGACCTTGGGGACCTTTAGGGAATTTAGGGACCTTAGAGACCTTTAGGGACCCTAGCAACCCTGCAAACCCTACCCTAGGGACCCTAGGGACTCCGAGGACTTCAGGGACCCAGCGACCCAGGGACTTCAAGAGATCCTTGGTGGCCCCAAGGATTTTGGGGCTTGAAGGGATCTTGGCAAGAACTTCACGCCGGGTACCACTCAGCCTGGGCATTCTCCAGCATCATAGGGTCATGCAAAAACACAAAATGCCGAAGCCAAGACACACACACACACACATTGCAAATGGGCCACAACACCACAACATCATCTCCCAACTACAAACTAGAAAACACCATGTAGAGACATACCAACATAAAGGCACAAAGACATAAAGATATAAAGATATAAAGAGAAAGATACAAAGATACAAAGATATAAAGATATGAATTTGTAGAAATACAAAGATATAAATATATGAAATTCATAAAGAGATACAAATACGTAGAGATATGAAGATATAAATGTATGGAAATAAATAGATTTGAGTACACGAAGATAAATAGATGTATGGAAAGTTGCTCGAATGGGAAAACAACAGAAGCTTTGCCCTTCCGCGCGTCTTTGTGTCCCCTTGCGTGGCAAGCTGCAACCAACCGAAGCTTGAGAGATGACTTCACACTTCACAGGATCTCTTGCCCCCAAGACCCAGGGTTGCTGGGGTCCCTAAGGTCCCGTGGGGTCCCTAAGGTCCCTTAGGGTCCCTAAGGCCCCTAGGGTCCGTAAAGGTTTCTGGGGTCCCTAAAATCCCTGAAAACGCCGTGTGTTGACAAGGATGTATGCACTTTGGGACCCTGGCCAGACGTCTTGATGGAAGGACGTTGCTTCATGGCACCTGCAGCGGACGCACGCGTGCCCAGGGACCCAGGGACCCCAGGGACCCCAGGGACCCCAGGGACCCCAGGAACCACAAAGATCGCACCCTCGGGGGTTCCAGGGGTTCCCCTGCAGGGGTTCCAGGGGTTCCAGGGGGTTCCAGGGGTTCCAGGCATTCAGGGGTTCCAGGGCTTGAGGGGTTCCAGGGGTTCCAGAAGTTCCAGGGGTTCCAGGGGTTCACTGGGTCAAAGATCAAGGGGGCTGACAGATTGGTGACAAAGATCAAATGACAATAACCTGCACGGGACTTCTTGGCCATGACAATGGAACGCGGCGAGGGCCCGGGCGGAAGCTCAAAAGTTCGCAGTGCCTGAGCGCCAGGAAAAAAAAAGATTTTGAGGAAACCACGCTGCCTGACTTACAAAAAACCTGACAGTACGACTTGACGGGGTTGGGGCAATCGCTCTCAAGGTCAAGGGTTCACCAGGTTGGAGAGACAATACAAAATGCGGGCCTGGCTCAACGAGGTCACGATTTCCAAAGATACACGGGCCTGACGGCGCGGCTTGACGGGGTTGGCAAAAGCACACAAAAAAGCAACGCGAGTCGCGCAAATCCTGGCACGGGACGGGGGGGGGGTGTCCGGGCATCGCTAGGCCAAAGATCAGGGGGCCTGACAGATTGGCGAGTTGGGACCCAAACCTCAAAGATCAGTTGGCATTGATGGCCATGACAACGGAAGCAGCGAAGGTCCGGGCAGTATGCCTCGATGTCAAAACAAAGCCTGGCACGGGGAAGCGCGAAAACACGACCTTCAAAATCCAGGACCAAACCTGAAACACTGCTCAAAGGCCGAGTTGACACCAATCCGCACAGGTGCCCAGCCACAGAGTCCCCAGTAGCACGAATTGGATCCACCTGCAAGCGGCCAACAAAAAGTGACAAAAAGGCAACTCCAAAGCGCGGCGCTGCGAGAAGATCTGCACGTCGAAGTCTGGGCACAGGGCACGTGAGGTCAAGAAAAACTGTGAGTCTGAAACCACGCCTTTGCACCCGCGAGCGGTTCCCTGCCGCCCGACCCCAGAACGTCCCCGAATCTCGCCTTCACAAGGCTCACGTGCTTGGGGAAGCTCTTTCCAAACACGACCGACAACGTGAAAATCATGAGAAAAACGCAACACCGGCAACCTGTCATGCAAAATCACGCTCAAAAACCACGCAAAGCTGAATTTACGGAAAAACAAACAAAATGGTGTTTTTTTCCGGAAATGGCGGCCCTCGAGCCGCGTGAGCCGAGGGCCGTCCCTTTAGTCGGACCATTTTGTTGTCCGCCCTATAGAAAAAGGACCGGCAAGCAAGAGTCAAGATGACTACCATCGCCACTAGGGCAAGCAATGCGGCCTGGTGGAGGTCCGCGACCTGCAGGTGAAAAACTGCGTTCTTTTTATCGTGGATGTCAGACGTAAGCGAGCGCGCCCGTAACTGACCCCCAGGTGCCCTAGGTGCCCTGGGTGCCCTACCGACCTGAGCCGGGGCGGGTCCCGCCCAGGTGCCCTAGGTGCCCTGGGTGATCCTCTCAACCAGGACCTGAATTGCCAGGGTCCTCTTGGCCAGGATGTAACCGACCTGAGCCGGGGCTGGGTCCCGCCAGAAGTGCCCCCCTGGCAGGGTCCTCTCGACCTGAGCCGGGGCAGATCCCACCCGAAGCGCCCTAGGTGCGACCCGTTGGGCGAACCATTGAAAAACGAATCCCCCCGGGCCCGTTGGGCAGACCATTGAAAAAGAATTCCGAAACCCCTCCAGACCCGTTGGGCAGACCATTGAAAAAAAATCCAAAACCCCTCCAGACCCGTTGGGCGAACCATTGAAAAACGAATCCCCCCGGGCCCGTTGGGCAGACCATTGAAAAAAAAACGAAACCCCTCCAGACCCGTTGGTCGAACAATTGAAAAACGAATCCTCCCGGGCCCGTTGGGCAGACCATTGCAAAAAAAATCCGAAACCCCCACCAGACCCGTTGGGCGAACCATTGAAAAACGAATCCACCCGGGCCCGTTGGGCAGACCATTGAAAAAACATCCGAACCCCCTCCAGACCCGTTTCCCTAGGTGCCCTGCCGGGGTCGTCTTCGGACCGGGGCCGGGGAGAGGGGGCAGGGCACCAGGACATGTAGGGCACTTGGGGGGGACCGGGGCCGGGGGGGGCAGGGCACCCAGGGCACCTAGGGCACCTAGGGCACCTAGGGCACCTAGGGCGGGACCGGGGCTGGGGAGAGGGGGCAGAGCACCCAGGGCACCTAGGGCACTTGGAAGGACCGGGGCCGGGGAGAGGGGGTACCGGGGCACCGCCGGGGAGAGGTAGGGCGCCTCCGGGGCACATGTTTTTGTTTTTTGTTTAACGGGCTCCGTTTTTTGGTGGCGTCTTTGATGGGCTCCGTATTTGGTACGCTTGTTTTGCTTGTATTGTTCAGTTGATTCTTCTTCTTCAAAAACAAAAGAAAGAAGGGGAAAAACTCAAGAAAAAAGAAGAAGAAAAAAAATCAACCACCCCAACCGCACAAGCCACAGGACAAGGACCCAAGTGCCCCTGGCTCCCCTTCAACTCTCCGAGGTTGCGGCCGGCTCAAGGTCACGGTCTCTCAAAGTCACGGGGTTCAACCTCACAAGCAAGGACATCAAGGTCTCGATGAAAACAAGGATGAGCGGGTTAAGGGGATTTAGGGCGGAGGGTCACAGCACAGCCAGGCTCCCGGCGAACAGCCTCGCTGCCCCCCAGACCCCCCCAGAAGCGCCCTCCAAAAAAAAGGGGCTGCAGCACGTCCCTTTCCCTCAAGTCCACAACCAACGTCACGTGCAAAAAGAGACGTGTCACGGCAAGAAAATCCATGCGTGAAAACCGTGCAAAAACGAAATTTTCAGACAACGCAAAAACGCAAAAACGCCTTTTTTTCCGCAAGAACGCCTGTTCAGAACGGGCAGGAGCGCCCAGCTTCACCTGCAGGTCGCGGACGTCAAGGACCAAGCCGCACTGCTTGCCCATGATCCAGACCTGCCGGGCTTCGACGTTGGCCTTGCACTCGCAGCCGGCCAAAGTCTCCGGTCTCTGGATCTTGTTGCCGTCAGCGTCCCAAAAGCGGACGTTCCGCGAGTCCAGCTTGCACTTCAGGAACGTGGCGCCCTGTCGGGACTCTTTGAGGCAGCTCTGCCATCTGTCCTGCACGTCGGACCCCCATCGTTTCGTCAGCTCGTCAACGCATCGCTTCTCAAAGTCCTCCCAAGCAGCCCACGCCTCTGAATCTCTTTCCGTCGCAAAGCAGACGTTCTGCCGAGGCCCTTGGTCCTTATCGAAGTTGCTGGGCTCCCAGACAATGCTGGTCCACTGGGACTGCCAGACGATGTGCTTCCCCTCGCTCCTCAAGGGTGCCGACTTGGCTCCCTTGAAGCTGGTCTGAACCTCACCAATGGCGAATGTGGTCGCGATTGTCATGACGCCGGTCTCTTTTCCTCTAGGGATAAAAAAATATTGGTCCGATGAACGCGTCGGCCTCCGCTCACGCAGCCTGCGGCCATTTCTCGAAAGGGAACAGCCCGGAACCCCAGGGGGGGCAAGTCCTGGGGCCCAAGAAAAGCCAGCGGGGCACTTAGGGCACTTAGGGCACTCGGGGGACGAGGGGGGGCACGCCAGAACAGAGCCGGCAGCCATGCGGGCCCGGGGAGGTCCGCACGGCCTTTGCACCCACGCTACAACGCCACGCCGCCAAAAAAACGCGATTTTTGCCCTCAACATCCGTGTCATGCTCAAAAAACATGCCAAGTTCAGTGCACAAGTCTTCAAAACCCAGGCCGTGTTCCTACAAGGTTTGATGTCTCTTCAAGACCCTCGCACCCGTGGAGATGCCTCAAAAAATTGTCTCCCATCAAGTTCAGTCCACACGCCTTCTAAACCTAGGCCGTATTCCTGCAAGGTTTGACGCCCCTCCAAGACCCTCGCATCCCTAGAAAGAATCGTCTCCCATCAAGTTCAATGCACATGCCGGCCAAAAAAAACGAGCACATCCTCTCGACGTCAGCCAACCTTCCTGCCAAGCAGCTGGGGCCTGCGTAGCCCGCAGAGCTTGTGACAGCTCCACCCCCCCGAGCTTGTGACAGCTCCATCCCCCCGAGCTTGTGACAGCTCCATCCCCCCCAAGCTTGTCCCCCGAGCTTGTGACAGCTCCATCCCCCCCGAGCTTGTGACAGCTCCTGGTGCCTGCTCGAGCACCCCCCCCCCGGTGCCTGCTCGGCACTCCCCGGTGCCTGCTCGGCACCCTCCCGCTGCCTGTTCGGCAGCCTTGCGCTTGTTCAGCGCTTCCGCCACTTGCTCAGTGGCAATCAAACCCCCCCAACCCGGAAAACCATCAAGCCCCCCCACCCCGGAAAGCAATCATGCGTGCGTCAAGAGCTCACCCCCCCACCCCGGAAAGCAATCATGCATGCGTCAAGACCCTGCAAGGCCCTGTTCGGAGCTCGTTCAGCATCCTGTTCGGCTTCTCTTTCCAATCGCGTTTCATGCCAAAAACGTGTGCCATGGTCAAACATGGTGACGCCGTCTTTTTTTTTGCAACGCCCGAGGGGACCCCAGGGGCCCTGGGACGGGGAGGAGCCGGGCGGTTGCCCGGACCACTTTTTTTTTGGCGATCTACGAAAAAGCAATCGACAACAATGGCATCCTGGGCAACACAACGAGAGAACCTCAGGCAGGCGGTCGAGGCCGGATCGAGGGCCCGGGACACGGATGACGGAAGCCGTGTCTTGGGCTTGAGGCGGGGCCGAGGCGCCTACGCGTTGCTCCAGCGCGCGGACGGGAGCGTTACTAGGGCCGGGGAGGCCTACTTCGGCATGCTCGGGCGGCAGCCAGAGTCGAGGACCTTCGACCCAGGCAGCCGCTGGTCAGGGAGGGTGCGGCCGACTACGTGCTACTGCAGAACGGGCAGCGGGGCCTAGTGCGGCGGCTGCGGGAGGACGGCACCTACCAGCTGACGAACCTAGGGAGGCGGTTCTTCAAGAACAAGTACTCGCAGCACGTAGCACACATCCCAGTGGTCATCAGGGGAATGTGGCGGGCCGGCAAAAACGCGGGCCGGGCTTACGAGCGCAGGGACTGGCTCCCCGCAAATGTCCTGGGTGGAGAGGCCAGCCGGCAGCCCGACAGGCTGTCGGAGCAGCAAATACTGCAAAACGTCAAGCAGGAGACGCTGCGGCTGATAACCGCGGGGGACGAGGACCGCGCCGCCGGCAGGGCGCCCATCATGGAACTCAGCGACGAGACGTACTTCTACGACCCGGACGGGGAGTGGGTGGTGTCCTCGGAGACGACGCAATACCGGAACAGCCGCGTACACGTAGAAACCATCCTGCGGCAGAGGCTGCGAGGCCTGCGCCGCGTGTCGTACCAACTGCCGTGCTTCAACAGTATCCTGGAATGCGCATTCGAGGATTCCGGGGACAACGCCTGCGTGCCGCGGCAGCTGGCTCAACTCTTGGGCGTGCCCTTCGAGGAGGTCTGCGGAGACTTCGACGCCCTTGCAGAGCACGACTGGCGCGCGCGCGGCATCTCGCCGGTGGAGATACGAGCCTTCTGCGCGTGGCGCAACGCGCCCATGGTCCTCATCTCCAACACCGGCGAGCCCCTGGACCGCTTCGAGCCCACGCAGCGGGAGACCAAGACCGTGGTGTTCACCTACTACGACGGGCACGCCTTCTTCTACCGGAACGCCCGGCCGGTGCTGGAGCAGATGGGCTGCGCGCTGGTCATGTACCGGCGCGACCCGAAGCAGACCGTGCCGCCGCTGGAGGAGTGGAGCCCGTGGCGGGGCGAGATCAAGCCGGGTCACTTCCACACGACGGACTACGGGAGACGAGGCGGCAGCTGCTGCTCGCGGAGCACAACCCGCAGGTCACGCTCCGCTCGCTCGCGCAGTTCTCGAGCCTGAAGCTGCGCGCCAAGGGCGGGCAGTGCGTGATCCGTGAGCTGCCCGAGGACTGGGAGCTGCTGCAGGCATGGGCCAAGGGGCGGGGGCTGCACTACCGCGGGCAGAGGCTGGCCTCGCTGAGCTTCGAGGCTTTCTCCACGCTGGTCAAGGCGCCGAGGATCACCCCGAGCCAGCGGCAGAAGAAGCTGCTGCTGGCCGAGCAGGGAGGAAAGTGCGCCGCCTGCGGGCAGCAGATCGGCGCCGGGTGCGCGGAGTTCGACCACATCGTGCCGGTGCGGCAGGCCTTCGCCGGGCAGCAGCAGCGCTTCCAGGCGCTCTGCTTTGAGTGCCACCAGATGAAGACCCAGACCGAACGCATGCAGCCCACGTCGCTGGAGTCGCGGTTCACGCGCTCGGTCTACGACGCGTACGTACGCTCTCCCAAGCAGCCTCCGTTAGTGTTCCAGGCGCGGGCCCTGGGCAGCGGACCGCTCGAAGGCGTGGACGTGGTGCGCTGCCGCAGGAACGGGCTGGCCAACGCACCGTTCCCACTGCCCATCTTCTGCCCGGCCGACAACATCGAGCCGGCGCGGCCCGGGCACCTCGCAGACCTCTCGTTTGTGGACCTGCCAAATCGGGGGCGCGATGCCCCCGTGACGCTGCTGCCCTACGTGGGGCCGGGCTGGTACCCGAAGGTCTCGCTGGACTACATGCTGCGCTGCGGCGTGGCGCAGTGGTCCGACGTGCTCCACACGATGAACGCGGCCAGCCACGACACCGCGGAGTGCCTGGCGCCGGCGCTGGACGTCATGGAGCAGGCCTGGCCCGAGGGCGAAGAACATATGGCAAAGCTTGCAGTGAACTCGATGATCGGGCTCATGGCGCACGCCAGC